CCACACAAAAGCACCTGTATAAATTTAGAGTCTGCACTGGTCAGTCCTCACCAAGCTGTGCACTCCCATTCAATGCTGCGTAATTTTTGAGCTGATGTTTCCCTCTTTATCTCCATTTGAAGCCTCCATGCGAATCAATTAACCGACCATACAAGCAAGAAAAAGCTACAATAGACATTTCACAACTGCTTCTTCCATTCCCCCCCAACTCTGAGTCGATTTATTTGTCTAGGCAATTACAGAAGCATGGATCTACACAGGGAAGTTTAACTGTATGTATGAGAAATCTGGTTATTACGTGCTTATGGTTTTGCTGTAATGCATACCTGCTACAGCCCTGGGTGGGCTAGACAGGGATAGAATAGCCTAAAAGCACAGGGTAGGATTTCTGGAACCCTCTCCTGTGTCACCAAGGGGAGCAGGTTGCGCGTCTTCAGCCAACGTGTGCCTGCAGGGAGCTCAGGGCACCTGATGCGCTTGGGGACCAGTTTGTGGTGTCGCATAGTGAAGGCCCAGGGCAGCCAGGTGGGCGACAATCACTGCTCCATGTTCATTCCAGTCCTTTGCTCAAACCACGGTGCCAAGCTCCCCTCCAGCACGCATCCCGTCCCCGTACTTCTGTCTCCCTTCCTCCTCCTCGTCTAGACGCTCAAAGCCCACCTCACACCAACCGCAGCAAGGCAGGTCTCTGTGCACCCAATCTCACTTTAAATTAAAATAAGTTGCCTTAAAGCACAGCATGGGCACACCCTGCCCACAGATGAGCCCCTGGCACAGTGGGTTTTAGGGAGAAGTAAGTCCAAGCAGCTCAGGGTCTTGTATCTGCGGACACCTCTTAATTGAGACTATGCTGGAGGCAAACACAGCTCAGGTGCCTCAACACTGGGGTTCAGATTTGGAATTTCAATGTAAGACATAATAAAAGCACGGGTGTTTGGTCCCTGCATGCCAAGCCACTGCAAGATGCAACAAAATCAGCTCCAAACTGAAGTTACATTAATAGCTAAGGCAGTTATTCTGGAATATTGTGGCCTCAGCAGCAAACACATAAGATCACTGTCCTACCTGGCAGCTCATCCTTTCCATCTTGTCTTTCAGGATAAGGGAAGCTAAAACAAGCATAATCCAGCAGCTCTCCTAGACATTTCACACTTTCCAAATAGCCATTAGGAAGGAGACATTTCCAACTCTTATGGCCTGACTTGTCTGTTCTCAGGACTACCTGGGAGCCTAGAGGCTGTTTTAAATCAGAACTGCTTGCCACAGAGAAAATAAAAACACTAGATCATCTCTAAGCCTGGAGATAGAGGTCATCTGAGTAGTAACACAGAAACACTTTTTTCCCCCCCAAACATCAAACCAACAGTAGAATTACATGACTAACCAGCAGATGCAACTCCTCCACTCCACAGGGATCCAGTACCTGCTCATCAACACTGCTATTATAAATGCCTCCCTATCCCTTCACTGAGTCCTAGAAGCTCTGCTGGAAATTAGCTATCCTGCAGGTACTTTGGTACACCTGAATCCCTCCTATCATGTCCTTTTAGTCTTCATTGATACCAGCCTGACCTGAGCGTTAAATAAAGTTGCCGAGTGAGAGTCAGCTCTGTAGTCAATGAGAGTTTGATACTTCTGTTCCATAGATATTAGCCAGGACACAAAGCAATAAAGACCCAAAGTCTTCTTGGTACTTAGCTCTATTTTTACAGGGTCACCAGCTTTGCTAACTTTCTGTGGAACCTTAACAGATTCAGCTCTTTGGAGTCTGCTGTTAGGGCTCTCTCTGTCACAGTCGTTATGATGGTAAAGTACATGGTATTAATTTCTAAATATCATACAGTATTAATGCCTATATAGGGCTAATTTTACTCTGCTGTTTATACGGTCACCGATTCAGAATGGTTTTCAAATTATGCTTGCGTTTTCCTTGAAGACTAAGCATTTAACTAACATTCTCTTGCCCACTTCTATTTGCAGGCTTCTCTCAGAGAAGAGGCTTGGAAAGGGTCTCTCTGATTTCATCATTGTCCTCAGGACCAATTTATAACCTGCACCTATTTATAACAAGAGTTTTATATGACAAACTAATCATTTTGCTTGACAGTTAATAGCCCGCCATTCAAGGGGAGTTTACATGTGCTGGGTTTTCTTCTATGGAGTGAGGAAAGGCAGGCAATCTGCTGCTAATCCAACATAAATACCCCTGGAGTCAGTCTGGAGTGTGGCATCGAAATCATTTACAAAACGTGAAATTTGAATAGAACTTAAAACCTCATAACCTGTCAGCTCCCAGCCAGGGAAAATATTCACCAAGGGCCTGCAACTGGAATCTCAGTGCCTGGAAGATTGCTTTTATTTGTCTGAAGCAGTTAGCAGAGAGAGCAAGGGTGCAAACCGGACAACCCTGGCCTTGTGGAGGCAGCTTTGCTCAGCTCCTAACTCTAACACAGCCTGTCCAGGGGCTACTTCAAGGCCCTATGTGAGTTAAATAGAAAGAATTCACCACTGATTCCACATGTGAAGGGCTGGTCCAGCATTGCACTGTGTCCTACTGAGCCAGCTAGCATGGTGGTAAACATGGGAGTAGTGAAAAGCAGGAGGATCAGGACAACCCAGCAATCTCGTGTCAATATAACTCATAGGACAAAATTTATAGTGCCCACGTCAGCAGAAACACACCCTAAAGGCAGTTCTGGAGTTAAGCCCTGAACTAGACTAAATACCTATATTTTGGAATGAATCACTAGCATTTTGCCAGATTTTCCACCAGCCTCCATCAGGCTCATAAACCACAGTTATCAGCACATTTTGTGAAGGCACCCAACATAGAAGGAGCTAAAAAATCTGCCAGCAACACGACCTAGCCTAGACCTTTGAGACAAGGGCAGAGGCATGTTCCAGAAGCACGAGGCTGATATTTACTATCTCGCTAAGCAGGCATCCGTAGCTTGAAACTGGAAACTTGTAGCTGGACTCTGTCTAGAATAAGGAATTATGAGTGAAGATAATCACTTTTATAGGCATTGAAATTATCAGTCAATGCTCATCCTAGGATGGTTTGGTTTATTATTCCTGAAATATAAGCTAAGCAGCAAAGCAGTCTGTTTACACAGCAGCCTGTGTAAGAGGGAAGTGTAGTAACCAGAGCAATGGAGTATACGATGAGAAAATTGAGCTCAGAGTCATATGGGACTGGAGTACCAAATTCAGTGTCTGTATCTTAGAAGCAAGAAGCTCTCTGGTAGGAAAAAATCATATAAGAGATCTCAAAACCCTCGACTGCGAACACATCTCCCTCACATGAGAGAGATCTGTGCAGAAAATTAACAAAACCATGCTGATTTGCATAAGTTTTGTCTGAATCTGAACTGTATACAATATACAGCAAAAAGCTCAGTGTAGATTGTTGCAAAGGTTGAGTGAGGCTTTTGCAGAGGAAGGGGCTGGGAGGCAGATGAGTGAGCAAGGGCATGGTGAAGACAGCGAAGTTTTAGTAAGTATTAAGTGATCCATGTGGGGTTTCACAGTAACCTTTTTGAAAGTGCTCTTGAACCTGAAGAAAGTTATGACTGCAAGTGCAAGTTATTAAGGTTTGAAACTCTTTGAAGGTGATTCTGTAGCAAACATTTCTGTGAAGAACTGAAAAGATGAGGGTAAGAAAGAAGCTTGCTCCAGTAAGAAGATATGTACTTTTCCTCACCTCCAGTTTCCCTGAAACCCTAAACTTAGAAATTTGAAAGAAAAAAAAAATGCAGCAACTCTTTGTGTTTCCTATTCTGCTAGGACCTCAATAGTGCAGTACCCCCATCTTATCCCCCCTGCCTCAGCTTGTGCAGATAGCGCCCTAAGTATGCTGGAAGGACCCAGAAAAAAAAAAAAAAAGGCCTTTTAATTTGTGCCTCTTAGATTTCTCCCCTTGCATGCCACAAATAGCCATTGCCACTGGGTGGGATTAACACACTTGGCCATTAAACCATAGGCTCAAGCACATGGGTTTTATTTTGTTATAAACAACTTCATACTGAATTCAGTCCTCCTAAATTCTTAAATTTTCTTGGACTATAAATTTTATGACTACAGGAGAGCATTGAAACTTTGCTTCGCACACCATTAATCTCCTCACTCTCCAAACAGCACGGAAGCCTTACAGAGTCTTTGTCCCAGGCACAGCCCAGCCAGGAGGCTCGTGTCCATATTAGTCATGAGTTTTGTGCACTTGAACTGGGGGCCCAGACTCCACTTGCTTTTTGGCGGTTTCAACCCATTCTGCCCCAGCTTACTGCTGGGCAGACAACCTCACGCTCGCCCTGGCTGCTGGCTGAAGGCCCAGGATGCAAGAGAACTGCAGCCTGGCAGCATTCAGAGCTAAAAGACTCTTAATAATAAAAAATAAATAAAAATAGAGTCTGTTGGCTAAAAGACCTTGGTGATGCATAGGAAAGCTTCTTAAGGGACAACCCTCTGTCCTGAGGATAGAGCTGATCAAAACCCCACAAGATTTCCAGTGGTAACAGTGAGCTTGGGACAAACCAAGAGCCGTGACATCCATGTCCTCTCCTAATTTGGCTTCTTTCCCCAGTGCTGAGTCTGACCCCAGCTCTCTCTGCTGGCTGGAGCAGAGGCAACGTGGCTTCCAGACTCCAGAGATGGGGGTTTGCTTCTCTCTCTCACACTGTCGCCAGGCAAAGCACTACTGCTGCCGAGGGAGATCTAAGCCTTCACCGTTCAGGCTGCGTGCTCCTCAGGACTGTCTGATACACATTCAGAGAGCGTCTAGCACGCTGGGGAAATGCCTGGCAGGACAGAACTCCTTGCATAAATACGGAAGAATAAAGGCAGAACAATTCATCTCCTAAGAAGATCTTGAGAGTAAAGCGCAGCAAAGAAGGGGGGGGGGGGGGGAGAAATAAATCACAAATCCCAAAACAAAGTCTGACAAACAGTTTTAGTTCTACAACAAAATAAATACTTTAACTCTGGTTTACCAAGAACAGTGAGACTCAGTTCAATAAACCTACAGATATAACAACATATGCTGAATGTCACACCGCTTTGATTATGTTGCTGTAAGTCATGCATGAAACAGCCCAATTTATTACAAATATTCACACAGTACAAAGTACAGTATAGTAATACATGCTGGGATATAGGCCCCTTGCCCTGGTTACACTTACTCCATCAAAACCCAGTGTAAACAGCCAATCTTTATTGATAGGGTTCAGTGATATTCATGTCTGGTTTGTGCTTCCTGAAGCTCCAGGAATGACTACTGTTGCTACTTGCTGTTCCTTTCAATAGCTTTGGACTCTCCTCTGCTAGCAGAGCACCCAGTTTATGCTTAAAAGTACATTCTCCCCAAAGTGTACTACAAAAAAATCCATAGGAATTCTGGCATGTATTGTGGAGCAAGAATTAATATATAAACATTGATAGCTGCTATATTTAGACAGTCACACAGGTCCAGTTAAAAAAAAATGCATTCTGTTGACCAGAAAGTAGAATTTACCTGTGTTTACTTGTGTAACAGCACTACTTGATTATTCCCTGTACCCTCTCCTTCCTTCTCCAATAGGCATCACTTTAATATATTCTACACAAATGAAAAAATACCATTTAGTACCCTTGCCTCAAGGTATTTATAACGGAGATGAAGAAAACAGTTTCAGCCATGCCTGTTTTACAGCAGATTTTCCCACAACTCTTGAAATAAGACATCTTTGCATACCACCAACCTCAACAGCAGTGTTACTGGAGCTTGTAGAAACATCATACACTGATCAGCCTAAACAACGGACCCAGCAACAGATGACAATTTTTTCATGCCTTCTGCTGTCCCCAGTAGTCTTTGTTTTCATTGCACAAAGGTAGTGTAGTCGATCAAAAATCACAACACTATATAAGGGATATCTTCCATTCACTGCAAACATTCAAGAACAAGTATCTTGGACTCCACTTTGAGCCTTGCTACCGTCTATTTATGACACTGTTATACAACCATTTCCTTAGCTAAACTGAATCAATAAAAGGGCCGGGTGTCTGTTGACAGGAAAAACTACAGAGGTACACTAGATGAGCATGGGTTGTTTTAATCACAAGGATGTTACCACATCTTGGGTAACACACCTTAACCCCATGAAATATCAATACCCTTTTACTTTGTTAAAATGAGTTTATAGCCTGAAGCTGTATGCAGAGCAGCTCTGGGGGCTCAAATGCTTACATTTGCAAACAGATTTATAGAAATCCAGAAAACATTCACTGAATGGACTTTCTAGACAGTCTTTGACAGCACTTTCAATCTCCAAACAGAGCTCAGATATACTCGCTATGATCCAGGCCACCCGTTGGAAGTAAGCCTTGCCCCATGTTTTCTTTCATTATTTCACTGCAGTTCAACAAGCACCTTGTAGGTGACATATCTGATCTGAAGCTGCTATCCTCACTGTCTTTGCCAGGTTTTTGACAACCAGTGTAATGCATTTGACACATTTAAAAATTATTATATGGCACCTGAGAGGATGCTGTTTATGGGATGCATTCCAAAGCCACATATATATCTTACTAAAACATAAGAACACAAGTAAGGTACTTCATGCTAGAACCGGTGTCATTTGCCTTACCTTTTCATAACAATAAAACTGCACAGGCAGCAAGGTATTCAGCTTCAACAATAAGATCAAGGAAATACTTAGATATCACGAACCACAATTAAAGAGTTCAGACCTTGGATTCCCGACTGTGAGACAGGCATTGTCTGAGAATTCAACATACTTCTTGTCAAATATATCCAATTCTGAACATGAGAGAGGGCCTATACCATTTACAATTGTATGAAAAAAGCAGTTTTGCTGGCAAATCCTTGTCTCCTTCCTCCACAACACATAGAATGTAGTCACTATTTTACTTCCCCTCTCAATCCTTCATTTCCAAACTCAAACACCCCACAGTCAATCCCAAGAGACATGCTGATTACAAGTGCTATTGTGAAATAAAGTTATAATGTAACAAATTCCAAATCTCAGTGTATTGTTCAGTTAGCATCTGGTGAAGCACAAATTAAATATTACAGAGTTTGTTTCTGAGCTATAAAAGTTATAGTTTTTATGATGAATGGATTGGTGTGGACCTTGAAAAGCTGTAGCTTCTGAAAGCAAGCTGAAGTATCTGTGAAAGGAAAGGCTCTTTGCTTGTTTAAAAAGATGCCAACAGTTACAGGAAGCGGTCTTCAAGAGTCAAAGTAAAGGTTTCTTCAGTCAAATATACACTGCAAGGCTCGAATTCACATCCTTCCCTGCCACGCTGCTGCAGGTGATGTTATGCACCCATTAACATGCCCATGAAATCTGATCCATTCTGAATGGTGATGGGAGCTCCAGCACTGTTGTCCACAAATATGGAGGTGTACTGGCCAGCCTGCAGAGCGAACAAGAGGGAAAGGAAAATATCTGATACTTCATCCCAGAGTAAAAGGAGGAGAAAAAGCACTTCTACCATGAACTAAGCACAGAAGCCTCCTGCCTTTTTCTGTGGCTCCTGGGAACAGAATCTGACCAAACATTTTTACTGCAGCACTACATCTTTGACTTGGAAGAAGTTTTCTGTAGTGAAACTGTGTTGTAAGCTTATTACTTAACTAGATCCTTACTGCAGTATAATCTTTTTGAGTGACTAGTCAAGTGGGCATCTGTGCTTCAGATTCCCTTCAATGAAATGGGAAATACAATTGCCATCTTGACAATAAAAGGAGAGATTTAAGAAAAATATTTCCTGTAATTTCTTAGAAGGAAGGCTACTTCTGTGGCTTAAGATCAGAACATGCAGCACAAGTCTGGCTTTTGTTCCTGTTCCTGCCACGTACCTTCTCTAGTCACCCCTGGTAAGGCATGTAACTTCATCAACCTTAGAAAGAAGGTTAATAAAAACTTCCCCACCTCCTGGTAAGAATTCAGCCTTGCCAGTAAGTCCATACCCTGCCAAGCAAACTGGTACAGTGATTCCCAATCTGCATGGGCTCACCTGCAGCTGCAGTAAGCCGTGTACATAGATAGTGAAGATTTTGCTGTTACTTTCCAGACCAGCAATGACTTCCAAAGACCTAAACAGCAGCAAAAGAAAAATAAACAGGTTAAACACCTAAGGTGGTCACAACAGGAATAACAATAGTCTTGTGATCTCCATAGAAATAGGACCTGGTGGTTCTAGTGCCCACCTGTACTACACTGGTGGCCTGTTCATTTGATCCCAGCAGTAATCAGCTGCCTTGAAAAGAGAACAGTGCAACTTTGTCCTCACTGTAGAGTCTAATGGAAGACCTCCAGAGCATACAGGATTGGGAATGCAAAACTCAGCTAGAGGCAGGATCTGGGAGCCACCTTCTCTCACCAAGGCCTTTCTCAAGGGCCTGTAAACTCTATCCCCCACCCTTGAACAGGTGCTAAACATGCCCTTTAGATTTATCTGCACACCTGTTATCCCAGTTTATTGGCCACCACAATAGCTTATACTCTTGTTATTCTGCAAGTAGATAGCTATATGCATTCTGCCAATAACAGGTCATTCATTTTCAAGGTGTGAAAGACCTGTTTCACCTTAACAACATATGTAGTCAGCCTGTGCAAAAGAGAACATATTCTGCTTTGGGAGGACATTTGGATAAAGGGTCACATACAAGTCAAAAAACCCCCTCAACAGCGCTGTCCTTCAGTTAAAATTCAAGGGAGAGGTCCAGATCACCCCTCAGCACTGTTCTTTTCTAATATCATGTTCTAATAGCCATCATGCTTCTTGCAGTAGCAAGAAGTAGGACAGCTGCTCTCAGTGGCATTCTCTATTTACAGAACTCTAACTCAGCTCCTTTGTACAGGGTTCAGGGTGAAAGGAGGTGCCCCAGTCATCAACAATCAGAGCAACCCATGTAAGCTCAGTTCCAAAGCAATAAGAAAGCACAGAGCTCCGTGCCTGGCTGGTTCTTCTGAAATCTGCCTAGCCAGTGGTAGCAGATCTAGTTGTTTTCCCAAGAAAACCAACCCCTTTCCTCCCTTTTTTCCATGAAGTAGTGGTGACGAAACCTAACAAGTGCAAACGTGCTGTTTCCAGCCCCCTTGCAAGGAAATAATATGCATAAAAGGTAGCGGCAATTTGGCCCAGAGAGAGGAAGCCACTTAGCACCATCTTGATTGAAGAGCTCAGTCTGTGTATCATACCCTGCCAAGAGCCTCGCTTGGGTGGGAACTTCCCACCGTTAATCTCTTCTACTCCAACTGTCTCCTTGCCTCTGAGTTTCCATCTCTCTCAGCCGAAAGCCCTCAGGGCTCTTTCAGCTCCCTCAAATGAATGACTGTGTATGCTGACATCCCCAGGAAATTCCACAAGCACGGGTAGCACCTCAGCCTTTTCCAGCAGAATGTCTGTCCAGACAGGTTCCCATCCCTCCACCCACTTTCCTTCCATGCCACAGACCAGTCATACTCTCACCCATCATGAGAGAGAGAGATGCCTCTCACAGAGCCAGTGCTGATTCTGCTTTGCTCCCACTGCTGCCCAACTCACTCAACTCAGGACAGCCTTGCAGGACAACCAATCATAAATTGCAACTGAGAGTCAGACATCAGAGACCTTTATCTAAACAATTAACACCTGGGTCGGTTCCATCTAAGAAAAAGAAGTTTTTGCTGTTACTGTTCTTTGGAGAATGTAGCTATAAATTCTTCAGATGGCAAATCCATCTCAAAACATCCCAACAAACCTGCTTGGGCTGTATGTGGACAAAGTTGTCCACACATCCCAGCCAGAACCCCAACCATTTTCTAGGAGCTTTTAGCTAAAAAGACCTTCAATGAGGAAGGCACAGTGGTTTCCATGGCCCACAGGGAAGCTTCCTTTTCAGAGAACTCTTTGTGCTTGCATTTACCAGAACAAAGAAGCAAGGCTGAAGTCATGTTGAAAGCGATCAGAGACCGATATTGATTCTTTCGTAATATTACTGTCAGATTGACTGAATGGACAGCAAAGGAAAGAGGCACAGACAGACACTGTCCTTGGAGACAGAAGGGGGCCTTCCAGAAGAAAAACACTTTGTTCTCTCTCAGATGCCTTAATCAATTAAGTTAGGAGCTTCATTAGGAAGAAAAACTCACCACTGTAACTTTCATTTATTTTGCAAAATGATTTAAGTGGAATTTAGATTTTCTGTATGATTCTGTAACTGAAGACAATGTAGAGTGGAGATTAGGATGGGAGAACAGCTTTTCAGTCTTGGAGATCTGCAGGATCAATTTCACTTTTAAATCCTCTTACCTGGCTTCATAAATCTCATCCACTCATTCACTCAAACTTTTATTGAAATATTGTCAGGTCAACACCACCAACTGGTAATATTTTCCCACATCCCAGCAGGGAGTATCTTTCCATATCCCACAAGCATGTAGAAAAAGATTCTGTGCAACTTGCAGTCTCTGTTCATGGGAAATCCAAGGGCTAGGGACATGTGTCCCATTCTTGATGAAATTGCTAAGATAAGAGGAGATTGTTGTAGGTGAAAAGAAAAAAGCACCAATGCTGAAGAAAGCAAAAAACCTGATTACTTGAATCTGACTGGTCTTTGCTATGCAGAGTAATGGACAGGAATGGTGATCTGCCCTGTGCAAAGGCAATTTCTGAGAGCTGCTTGTAAAAAGGACAATCACGTTCTGCCCTACTCATACCTGTTCCAGCCCTGTGATTAAAGGTCTGGGCTGTCCCCAAATCACTCACTGCCAACATACATCCCAGACTTCAAGATCAGGCTGAGGTCCATTCTTAGCATGACCTAAAGGAATTCTCACAAGTGCCATAAATTAAATGTCCTGTAAATTCTGCAGCTTATTAGAATATAAGGCATTCTCCTCCAAGGGGCAAGAAGTTACACCCTTCCTTCTGCTGACATTGTGACTGCAGCCAGACTGTCACTGCCTCACGTTAAGCGTTGCAACCATAAAAGACTGTTTTAAAACAGTCTGTGAGGCTGAGGAGGTGCCAGTTGCTCCAGTCAGTAAGCTCCTTGACTTCCCATCAAGTCAATGGGCACAGAGCTCCCTCCTACCCTAGTTACTAATGGGTACTCAGATACCAATCAAGTCTGTCCCAGAGGCCAACGAAACCCAAACTTCATGTTTATTTATTACATGAGGCTTCATGTCAAATTCACCTGCCAATAAAGCCTCTAAATAGAAATGCCTGCCGAGAGGTCAGTCATATTTGCAGCAGTCTGACTCACAAAGCAGTGAAGGTGAGGGCTGAAGCAGCCAGTCCAGCAGCAAATGTATGGTTTGGGGGGCTTTAAGTTGCGCCTGTGGAGTTGTTTTATGGATATATTTCAGTGGTGCTGTTGCAAGGGTGATACTACAGCTGCACTGGGAGAGCTGCGGGCAGGACAGAGCAAATCTGCACAACCTTGCACAGACATTTTTTCCTCCCATGACAAGGGCCGAGCTGCAAGCGGAGGCAGTGGCCACTCTGTGCAAGCAGCATTGCCCTCTGCTGGGTGCAATTCGGCCCAGCCCAGGGGCTCCCCAGCCCCTTCCTCCAAGCAAAGCTTGCCAAACCCTTGCTGGGCAAGCTGGCCTCCTCTGAGACACAAGGCACCTAGGTGCTGCAGCTGAAAGGATGACAGAAGCATGACAAATGAGCAGCCAACAGTATGCTGATGCCGTGGCCCATTGCATAAGAAGAAACACACAAGGTTGCCACGGCCTAACAAAAGTGTTTCTTTAGCAGAGTTTTGCTAGTGGATCCCAGCAGAGGAAAATTCAGCATGGTTATCTGAGCAAGCCGAGGGCTCTGAGAAGGTATCGTATACCTCTACACAAGCCCTGCACTTTCTGCCTCAGGACCCATTCGCCTCTATTTTCCACCTATTAATTCTTTTCATCACATCAACACTTCCATGGCAATAGGAGTGAGATGTTATGATCCATTCTGGATGCAGCTGAAATTATAAAAGTTGAGCTAACAACCCCTGGCACAAAATTAAAGTGTTTCTCTGCAAACCAAATATATTCTCTCACTCTGCATGTTTATCAGGATAGCTGAGCATTCAGCACCTTTAGCTACATCCAGTGTCAGCTGATGTCATCCACAATTCTCTCAATATATGCAATATTTAAATATTTTAAGTAATTAGCACTGAAAGGTTAAAAATTGGAATTAAAAACCACAAAAATCTAAGAGCCAGATGGAATCGCTCTCTTCAGAAAAGTTCTACAAGCATTTATCATATAAAATGCACTGTTGGTGAACCTCATTTCCACAGTTGGTTGAAACAGTGGCCCATTTGAGAAAAATTATTGCCAAGACAGCATTGTAGCAACTCACGTGTATCGGTGGCACAGAGATTCGATGCAGATCAACACTCGGACATTATCTCTGGCTCGGAGTTGGACTTTACTCTTCAATTCGCTGTGGTCTGGGGAAAGCAGTGGAAGAAATATAAGCACTTTCACAACATAGCAGAGCACCAGTTGCTGGTGTTTGGCTTAACAGAAACACCAGTAATCTTGTGACTTCTGTATTGGATTTGCGTGGCAAGGTTTTGGTAGCTGGGGACTACAGGGGGGGCTTCTGTGAGAAGCTACAAGAAGCTTCTCCCATGTCTGATAGAGCCAACGCCAACCAGCTCCAAGATGGACCCACTGCCAGCCAAGGCCAAGCCCATCAGTGATAGTGGCAGCACCTCTGGGGTAACATATTTAAGAAGGGGGAAAAAATCCTGTGCAACTGTAGCTGAAGAGAGGAGTGAGAGTATGTGAGAGAAACAACTCTGCAGACACCAAGATCAATGAAAAAGGAGGGGAGGAGATGCCCCAGGTGCCAGAGCAGAGATTCCCCTGCAGCCTGTGATGAAGACTATGGTGAGGCAGGCTGTGCCCTGCAGCCCAGGGAGGTCCACGGTGGAGCAGATCTCCACCTGCACCCACGGAGGACTCCACGCTGGAGCAGGAGGATGCCTGAAGGAGGCTGTGACCCTGTGGGAAGCCCACGCTGGAGCAGGCTCCTGGCAGGACTTGTGACCCCGTGGAGGACCCAGGCTGGAACAGTCTGTTCCTGAAGGACTGTGTCCCGTGGAAGGGACCCACTCTGGAGCAGTTCATGAACAACTGCAGCCCATGGGAGGGACCCCACGCTGGAGCAGGGGAAGAGTGTGAAGAGTCCTCCCCCTGAGGAGGAAGGAGCAGCAGAAACAATGGGTGATGAACTGACCACAAGCCCCATTTCCCATTCTCCCTGCACTGCTGGTGGGGAAGAGGTAGAGAAAATCAGGAGCAAAGTTAAGCCTGGGAAGAAGGGAGGGGTTGGGGGAAGGTGTTTTAAGATTTTGGGTTTATTTCTTACTATCCTACTCTGATATGATTTGCTGTAAATTAAATTAATTTTTCCCCAAGTCAAGTCTCTCTTGCTCATGATGGTAATTGGTGAGTGATCTCCTTGTCCTTATCCTGACCCATGAGCCTTTTGTTATATTTTCTCTCTCCCGTCCAGCTGAGGAGGGGGAGTGATAGAGTGGCTTTGATGGGTACCTGGCAGGGTTAACCCACTACAACTTCTTAAGAAAGCACGCTTCTGGTGTTGGGTTATAAAATACTTCATCACTGAATGATTAAAACCATTGAACAAATGCACTGCTGACAAAACACAGTTAAAACTTCCTTGATGCAGTTCTACATCATTACATTCATTTCTTCTAAATCTTTTATGGAAGCCATGATTTCCACACATGAATATATCTGGTCCCTAAACTCATCTCCCATAAGGACTGACCTGTTGGGTTTGCATGGAGCAACTGGCTGTGGCTACCAGTCTGTGAAAGTACCAGCTCTAAGGACAGGGGTTTGGGTCATGGTACCAAAGGGAGTGCTCACTGCAAAGGGCTTCCATTGCACATGCTTCAAATCAAACAGGACCCAGAGAGTTCACTCCTTCCTGCATCTCTCAAGCAGGACAGAAAAGTTTTCTGTGGACAACACTCACCAATGTGGACATTGGCTGAGAACTGGTAGATGCCAGACACGGGTGCTGTGAAACGTCCTGTTGCCAGATTTAATCCTGTCCCCCGGAGAAAAGCTCCTTTGGCCAGAGGCTGCAAGATAAGAAAAGCAGACCCTAAACAAGTCCTCAGCACTCTCAAAAATGACCTCTGCCCATGGAAAAGAGCAAGCTTACGTGCATGAGAACAAAGCTGATAAAATTTGCAAGGCTACTGCCTTATCTCCCCAGACCACACCTTCCGGATGGGCTCTCTCTTAGCATTTGATGTCCACAAAATACAAAATTATCAGTATGAGACATGAAGAGGCCCTTTTTGCTCACTGCTGAACTCTTCTAACTCATCTTGTCTCAGATTATGCTTACTTCATCCCTATGCTCTGCTGGTCCTAGTGGCCTCTAGCCTCCACTGATGTTCTGATATAGAGTATCTCCCATTATTTGAGTCAAGAGGCCCCTACTACTCCCAGAGACTTCCTATACGGGGCCAAGCAGTGTCCCCAGTCTTAAAAACCTGGAACTCCATACACTGTTTTTGTGATACAAGTACAGAGGAAACACTCATATGGCTCTCCAGAGGTTTTCTACCCCCTTTAGGTCTAAGCCAGATGGCTTTGATATTGATAGAGAATAACTGCCTGGATTCTTACAGATTCCATATTTAGTTTCACTTTGTTCTAGGCCTTGGATTCTACAGAATAGGCAAAAACCTAGTAAAATAGCACGCAGCTTCTCATGGCAAGGAAGCAGTCTTAAGAAACTCACAACAGATTATCTGACTCAGACTAAAATAAACTCTGCAAGAAATGTTTATTGTTTGCTTTGGCCTGCCTCATATGAGTTTGGCTAGAGCTGGGGAGAAGCAGGAGTGGCTTCAATGGGCCAAGAAAGCGCATTAGTCAGACTCTGCTTCCACCGCAAGGGCATCCTGTGCAATGTGAATGCGTTCTCATGAATGCTCTCCTGACAGATTTGCCCCACATTGGTCTTCTGGGACAGAAGAGCTGTTCACATCTGACTCTGTAAAGTCACACACACCGCTATATCCCAAAAGCATGCACAAATGCATAACTGAGCAATCTCAACAGCCCAACATTTGAGTATGCTTTCCAATACTAGATGGCGAAAGGGGCCTGAGACACAATGAACAAATTTGTAGCAGTGTTGCCACAGGTGTTATTACACTAAAAAAAGTAGTGGAATGCCTTTGTTCAAGTATCAGAGGGAACTTAATTGCTTCCCCATTCTGGTTCATCACAGCCAGAAATTGCCAGGTTTCACAATGCAGGGTAGGAATAATTTATTTCACTTTCTCTTTGAAAGGAAGTAAGGCTGAAAATATTTGGGTCTGGTGCTGTTTGTTTAGAGAATGACTACATGGTAGAAAGAGTGAAATGACTAACCTGCCTTTATTCAGCAAATCCCAGGCAAGGCTCACAGAAGAGTCATTCCCAGTCCTTCTTTACCAAAATGTAGCCGTAGTCTTAAATTTCATACAACTTTACTAGAAAAGTTTTATATGTGCATATGTTGGTGAAAATATATTGCAACAACAGTGGCATTTCTCATAAGATTATATATGTATAATGGGAAAACAGTAATAATGAACTGCAGAACAACTATGTTGCACACAATGATTTCTAAGTCTCTATATTTATCAATGTGCACTGATACGTACCTATGTGCACATACATACACACAAAAGGAGTTATATTTTCTTTATGTATACGCACACAGAGAATACAACAGCTAACCTAACAATAAAGACTACAGAAGGAGATTGATTCCGTTCTTGCACTACCATTATGCCATCATTTTTGGTAATGCTAGATTTACCTCACTGAAAGAGAAGAACTAAGCCCTGTATTTGCAAAACTGTACTGCATAGTTAATTCATTCCTTTCTTGTTACAGCTATTAGCAGAATCAGCAACATAATTCCAAAACCACTGGCTGAGCATGGAAGGCAATTTTAGGCACCAGTAAATTATCACTGATAAAACATTCCTGTTTCTTCATGCCCTCTGTGGCTTTGTTATTCTTTGGTGATAGAAAAAGACAATGCAGGGAGAGGTTCTCTGGGCAAAATATTCCATTAAACCCCCTGCCAATTAGAGTTCCCTGCTGCATCTACTGCCTCACAGCAGCATACTCACCTGGCTGCTTCAAACGCTGCAGTGATTTATAGCTGAGAAACCAACTACTTTCATACAGCTATTTCAGTAGCCAGACCAAAAGCAGACAAAAAAGTTAAGTGTCCAGCCATTCTGTACAAACCAAGGTCAACTTCTCTTCCTCAGTTCATATCCTATCCCCACATCTCCATCATACACTCCATAGTTTACTTCTGGGTGGAAAATAGAAACCATGCCCAGAGAATTGAAATGTGAACTGCCAGTTTACCTTTTCAGTGATAAACACTGTGGAAAGCAATGCATTGATTTAGCTGTTATTAAAGAAAAGGATAATCTAGCTTGTACAGCAACCGCAATGCACAGGGGATACACTAATCTCCTGAAGCAGCAATAAAATTCAATGGCCAAAGGTAGACATGTAGCCTGACTTCAAGGCACTAGAGACACTGGGACGCCTCCTGGGATCTTTCACCATGAAAAGCACGTAGGCCACCTTAAGCTTAAATGATCCAATTCTAGTGACGTTCCTGGGCTCCAGATAAATCCCACTTCCATGGCCTGTCAGAGTCTGCAGTTACTTCAATTCTTGCTATGTAAAGTACCTTTCTGAAAGCTTTTGCAAGAGGCAATCATTAGGAACCTCAAAGTGTGAGATACAGGAGGAAGAGGTGTGGGGAAAGGAGTATTATAAGTTTCATTTCAGATACTAAGGAATTTTGAGACCAAGAGGAAGAGAGGGAGGGAATGTTCTTGGAGGAAATTTATCATGGAAGAATGAGAAAACCATCATGCTCTCTCAATACTCAAGGTCAGAATGACTCAGACACCATGCTCAACTGACAGAGTATAGAAGTGATTGGCTATTTCTCAGCACAGGTTCTTTCCACTATCTCAGAATGCTTTGAGTAAGGTCCAAATTTAGGAATTAGAGTCAATTCATATCATCTCACTGAGAAGCATCAAACTGTTGGCTTCTTCACATTATTAAACCAACAGAATGAAGGGGAATTCTCTCTCTTTCCCCTCCCTTGGACTGTTTAAAGACAATGTTTTCATCTTTGCAAGAGCATCCACTGTCTCCCTCCCTGCTAAATTCCCCTATATCAGAGCACAAGCCAAAACCAGACACTTCTTGTCCCAAAGCTGAAATGAAAAGCTGGCATCCAGAGGCCTGCCACCCCTCCCACATCAGCTTCAGGGCCAGAAGCAATTAGAAAGAAGCTATGAATATGATAACAAAGCATGGGAAGCATCAGCCTACGCACTGATTGCTGAGATGTCTTTATTCACATTTTCCCTCCTCATTAATGAGGCAGCAGATCTCTCTAGCCCTGCCCACACTTCAAGTACAATCTTGCCTCTGTGCCAGCACCCACAGAGCTGTCAAACCAGGCTTCCACAAGTGTATTTGGGAAAGATCCAGGAAAGCACCCCATTTAGAGCATAAGCACTGCCTCTAGTCCTGCAGCTGTGAGAAGTCCTAGCAACACATCTACTACATAGGAAAGGATCTGCTGGACAGGATTTTTCAGAAATGGGACTCAGTAAAGCTGGGAAGAAAGCTCAGCACCTTACTAGGTGGACAGTGTTAGCAAACCCTGCTGACTGAAAGCCATATTCCCAGTTCAAACTCTTCTCGTCACATCACAAAAGCAACCACATATCTGCAGGCCTTGTGCTGTTAGAGTCTTTGTGACTCCACAGTCTAAAATAAGTCTCCTCAGTTACCAAGTAACTATTTGGTTTTAGCTGTAACTTTGCCTAACATTTACACTCCAGTTAAGGTCTTGTTTGCAACTGGTTCAGAAATAGTCAGTAGAAGTTTCAATATCAAATTCAATAGCTTGCTTTCAACCATGCTTATAATGCACTACAGCATGCCATGATGGTGTGCTTGTCATTGTAACTTGACTATAATTAAATTATAAAAGTAATTTTTATTAGTCTTCTATAAAACATTACGTAAAGAATTTGAGCATCGGGACTGGCCCATCTAATAAAATGATGGCTCTTATTTGGACTCACAAGTCTATAACCACTGCCTTCTGTCTGCCTCTGACATTTTTCTACATCTGAAGGTTACTCTGGAATTAAACAGGGTGTGCACTGAAAAAAAGAACAGATCCTTCAAATTAATGCCAAATGTGGCCAAGTCTTTCTCCATCATTAACTGAAATAAAAAGACTGACTGTTGTTTGGACCTGTGAGACAGCCCTCTCTTGCACAGACCTGTCAGAACTTCAGTAAGAACTATATTAAGATTCAGCTGGGCTGCAAGAGAAGAAGAAAGTCTGCCTCTTGCATTTCTCAGGAAGGAGAGGACCTAAAGCTAAATGTCCATCTTACTGCAGTTGAGCTTCAGTGCTGAAATCACTGTGTGAGATCCTACTTACATCAACCACAAGAAAGGTAGTGCTATATTCATAGCATTCAAGTCTGAGACGAGCTTATGGGATAGGTTTGCCCCTTCAGGAAACACCTTTATCTAGAGAGCCACGAAGCATCTTTGCAGACTGGGGGAACTACAGCTGGCCTATGCCCAACGACTCTTGTGGAGTCAGGTTCGGTCTGTAATCCCTTCTCACCGACTGGAAGTTCTGAAGTTCTACCAGGGTCTTCTTATCTACAATGACTTGTCCTTTTAGCTTGCAATGGAATGCCTCCTCTACACGTTTGTGGGGTGAAACTTCCTCCAAGGAGAGCAGGAGTGGAGGCAGCTGGCTAGGATGGGCTGAAATAGCCAGGGATGCTCGACGCTCAACAGCCTCTGAGAAGAAAAGAAAAAGTATAGGAAAATAAATGCCTGGTTTAAGAGTCTATGAGGCCATCAGTTGTGCAATTAGACTTCTGCACTTAACTCTTCAACTTGAACTAAGCAGTTGGGGAAACATTTTTTCAAATTTTTGATTGCCAGATAGGGGAACGCTTTAATGTTTGCAAAGCCAACTCTTTATTTGCCATGGTGCTTACCAAAAGAAGCAGATCACAAAAACACAAAGATCTTACAGTGTTTACCTTTTAATATCTCCTTAAACTCCTGCAGAAGGACTTCTCGGGTGACTTCAGCACCAGGTGCTCCTGGAGGTCCCTGGGGACCAGGAGGTCCTGGGGGCCCAACAAGGCCACGCTAAGGAAGTAACCAAAGAAAAACACATGAATTGGAACCAGGCAATTGCACTAACAGACCAAAAATTCTCTCAGCCATGAGCCAGTTCTACAGGGCTGTCAGCCACATGAGCAGCCCCCTACACTATCAGTTGAACTACAGGCCTGATGCAGTAAATCTTAAACTCTTCAATCTTAAATCTCCAGCCAGCTGTGAATTCCAGCACTTGGAATTTACTCATGTCTTTATGTGGGACAATAAACTTTGCTCAGGTAAACACTAACTGGTTCTTCAAGTTCCAATATACAGTGTGAAGCACAACAGGCACAAGACTAAGTTTGCTGCTTCTGTATCTTCCCATATCAGTGAAGTATCACACTAGTCTTTGAGCTTCTTATTCTGCCTATTCACTAACTAGAATAGCCATCTAGCCACACTTCACATTATTAATATATATTGCTCAGACATAATAATCGCATACGTGAACGTTTGGTGCAATATAGAGCTCTCTGAAAAAAATTAAATGGTTCAATCAAAACCTGTAAAGGTTAGCCACACACAGATTAGAGCTTTAAATTAGCAGTAAAAACATGCAACAATGTTATCAATGCTATTTTGATGTATATTGTTCCCAGGGAGTTCCTGTTTCGTCAACTAAACTGCAGTAAGCCTGCATGGAAGCACTTCTGCTTACAAGCTCACTGAGAAATAAAAGGAATTCATTAAAAACATTCAAAATTGTCTAAGTAGCAGATTAAAAGTGTACACATGATCAAGTATCACTCAGCAGATGATCAGTAATTCATTAATTTGAAATAAATGACTTGTCCACACCTTGATTAATATATCCTTTGAGATACCTGGACTTTATCTAGTGGAAGAAAAAAAAAAATTAATTTTATTTCTACTGAGCAGAGGAAAAAAAAAAAAAAAAAAGGCTCAGTCCAAGGGACAGCTGGTTTAAACAAAAATTAATGCCGACAGTGGAATTCACATACCTTATCTTACAAAGCATATAGCAGTTACTGTCTCAAACTTCTCCAAAATACTTTGAGAATTTAAAACCAAATTAAAATGCAGCACACTCTAGGGTGAGAAGGCAAAAGCTAGAGCACACATAACACCTTGCATATCAGCAGTAGGAAGGAAAGCCAGAGTGCACATTTATTAGCTGATGGGAATCTAGCAATAACCTACTAATTTCTTGTCTTTCCCTTTGCATCTCCTTTTAGAGGTATTGCCATCGTCTGGGCGGTGAACAAAGGAGATCCAGGTCCGCCGTGGATCTGTGATTCGAGGATCTGGAGATTCTAGGATCTAAAGAGAAACAAGAACAAAGACTGCTATCACTGTATCTCTTTGGCACTACATGGATTCAGAGAATGCAAAGTTGCCAGACCAGACTCTTGCCTGCTGCCTAAACCACATCCTTGATCCTAACATACTGCATTTGAGAGGACGTTGAAGGTGGGATCAAATGGGATTTTACAGTTCTGTAACAAGCAATTCAGCTTGGATTATCCAGTACCAAGCCATTTCTTGTCTGCATTTACAGGAGCATTGCAAATGCAGGATAGTACTTCAATCAGAGTTCTGACAGTGTATGGAAGACACCAGCCTTTCAAGAGACCCATTAAAGTGGGATTTTTTTCTTCATAAATTACAGGCTAAGCCTGCCAGCAGTAATGTCCCAAAAGCCAGAAGGTGCTGCCCTTAAAACATCAAAATGCCTTCTCATAACTTAAAATGCTATCACCTGCAGGGCCTCCCAGCTCCCTTTGCTTAAGAAATCAGTAAGAGCCAAGAGCTGGGAACCAGCATGCCTCAGAGACCTTTCTCAAGCTGCTGAGACTCTCAGCCCTCTGACAGTACTAATACAGGCTACAGAAAACCCGCCCAGATGTCAGAGATTGTTCACCACTGGCATCTGATATTTATCAGTTGGGTCAATCAAGCAATAGAGAGAAATTAAAACATACAAAAACCCTTGAAATGCTCCATAACTTTCAAATCACAGGCTGCAGAGTGACAAATGTGCACACTGGGAAAAAACAAAACAAAACAAAAAAAAAAAACCAAACAAAACAAACAAACAAACAAACAAAAAAACCACAACAAAACAAACAAACCAATTCAGAGTGAAAAATAAAGCCCATGTCTGACCACAGAAAAGATGTCCATTGGCAAATTTAACTACCTTGCTAATTCCTATGCTCTGCAAGTATATTGTAGCCACAGAGGAATTATCTAAAGCTTTGACATCACGGTGCCTAGTTCTAGATCCCTTTTAAACAAAGTGTGGACAGAAGAGAGGACCTGTCTTCACAGATTTGGGTCTGCTTCCTATTGGTCTCCCTCACTCCCATTACTCGCCTCCCAGAGACAAGAAGAAGTAATTAATCAAATAGCCATACCTGTTGCATGGCTCTTAAGCTATGAACGAATTTCTAACTTTAAATTTAAAAAGAGGCACCAGAAATCATTGCTTACCAATACCCTGTCACGCTCCTATCAAGAGTAATTAACTGTTGACTATGGAGGTTTCAATCTATTGACACATCAGCTTCTCAAATGTCCATCACAGTGAGGACAAAAGCACACACCCTCCCAAAGTTTCATGAGCCATGCTTAAGTATTCAGAGCCATTAATGAAAAAAACAGAGGAAAAACTGCAACGAAAACTTAAAATCTTTGAAACAAACAAAAACCCCACCCTATGACTATTGTAAACTTTTGGAATTCATTCAAGAAAGCTGTTTTCTAGTAAAACAGAACAAGTACAGACCAGAATTCAAGCAGGAAAGCAACACAAGGCAGTAGTGGGGTGAATGACATTTGAAATGATTCCTAGACCATTACAAGTTTAGGGAAATCAATATTGATCTATCGCCATTCAGGAGAAAGAAAACAAGATGGGTGTAGAAAAAGCATAGAAGCAAAGTCAGTCAACTGCGAACTTTTCAGATCTGAAAGTGTTTGCCCCTGGGTATTGAGCTCCTATTAGTGTGACAGCACTAGACAGTTCTCCCACAGCTCAGACACTATAGATCTACACTCAGCAGACTTAACAATAGCAGAGACCTTGCGAGGTGCTTCCAATGCATCCGAGTCAGCAAATACATCTACGTTTGCTCATTACCTGTCTCACTTGGCTCCCCAAAGCACTTGTCACTTCTCAGAGAACCATATCAAGTTTTAATAACATTTCTAGGTTTAAATAACATTTCTAGGACCACTTATAAGCATAGAGTCCCTTTTATCAAATAGTCTGCAGAAGCACGTAGAAAACAATTAACCTTTAGAATGCAGGTAGAGCTGAGGTCCCAATAACTGCACTATATGTCACTGAGAGCAACAGGAATTTGATAGAGGATGCAAATTTTAGCTAGAAATATCAGAGCAAGCCCATTTTAAGGAGAAAAGGCCACAGTCTGTGTGATCTGCTATGAAAAATCCATGCGGCATAAATTGTTTTAAAATAAATCTTAGAAGTCTGCCGGAGTTCCAGCTTGAGGTTATAAGGAATGTCGGTCCTTCTAAGCTGATGCAGAGCATGGAAAGCTCTCTCTCCAGCGTGCATCCAGGCACATGGGTACAGTACAAAGCACTTGTCCATAGATTTCTGAGCTGATGCGATCACAACTATTTATTTCAAACAGCTTGGGTCAACAAATGATTTACAAACCAGCAGAATATGAGCAGCTCCCTGGAAATCAGATGTGTTGTGAGCTGAGCACGGGTATTTGTTAAGATACATCTCAAACTTTGTGAAGCCAACTCTGTCTTCTCTATTCAGCAAATAATCTTAGGTGATTTACTGCTCAGACACAACCCACAGAAAGATCTGCTCCTATTGAATTGCTCTATTCAGGCAGTCCACTTATCCTCCCCTCCAAATAGATGGCTGCAGAGTAGCTGGTGTCTGTGCTTTAGGCCAAAGCAAGGATATCCCGAGACATTTCGCCATATCATTCATGCATTCTTCTGTAATTAATCAGAGCGAGAGTTATGGTTATGCACACTCCCCTCAATGCTCAAATTCAGCATGTAGAACAAACAAGAGCAAGACAAACTATTCATAACAATCGAGTTTGTTATTTCTGTACCAAAATCAGTCTTGAACAGACTTTTTATGTTTATAACCACATTTACAGTCAGCTGTAAATTGTGTGTTTAGTCAAGGGGTTCTAGTAGGTTGTTTTAGCTAAATTATTATTTGTTTTTCTTATTCACCTCACCCAGAACTTACATAGCTTTACAAAATCCTATTGGAAAGTAATGGAAATGGAGCACCATAGGAAATCCTGGGTATTGTGAGAGTAGTCACCTCACTAAAACATCATCATCTTCCCACAGATTGCTTGACTGCAGATTTTTGTGAAGCTTAAGAAAGAAGTCAAAGACAGGCCAACAAGGTGCAAACCTCTCCATCTATTGTAACATATAAACATCAAGTCCGGAGGCGAACACTCATAAAGTTTGCAAAAGTCGTAAGAACAGCACACAAGGTGCATCTTATTTCTACAACAAACATGAAATATATTTATCAGAGTTTGATGGAGGTTTAATGGTTTCTGATGGGAGAAGCTAGTTCTTTCCTACCCCACTTCATCGGAAAACAGATGGGTGCAGCATCACCACACATGAGGTCACACCTGCAGAGGACTGTGTTTGAGAGCATTTAAGTTTGAGAGCATATAAATATAAAGCAGGTAAAATCCTACCCATGCTTTGCCAAAAGGAAGCAGATGCCTTTTTGTCCCAGTGACTAGAACTGACAGGTCTGTGGTAAAGCTGCACTGCAGTTCACAAAACAGAAGGAAACAACTTATTAATAGAAGCACCCAGATCAGGCAGGATAGAGTATTCCCTCAGTGCTGTAACAGAAGCCAGCAAAATAACAGCTGGATTGCAGAGAAAAGGGAAATAAAATCAGTTAATCCTTCAAAAAGGGCTGGCTCATGTGGCAGGAACTCAGAAGTGCAGTCTCCAGAACACAGCAAACACAAGACCAGTCTTAAGAACTAGGATGCAGCATTTGCTGCAGATGTGGAAAAGACTATTCAAATATTCCTGGTTTCCACCAGGCTGCAAGACAGGCATAAACTCCCCTCCACTGCAAAAATGAGGAAACAGGCCAGCTAGAAGCAGAAGCCAGCAATCATGGACAGACTCTGACCATTAACTGTGAAGGCAAACAGATGTTCTCAGCCTTTCTGGAGCTCCAGCTGTAAAGAAACAGGCCAGAGCAGACATCTTGTCAGGGAGAAAAAAGAAGTCCAGATGGCACATCCCAGAAAAATAAACGAAAAAGTCCTGAAGTTTAAAAAAAAAAAAATAATAAAAAAAATCCCATACCTCTCCAGTGGCTTGCTTAAATTACAAATCCCTCTACAAGACAGTCATGGCACTCCCCAGTTTCTCCAGCACAAGGATGATTGACAGTTAAAATGAATGTTCCATCCTTGTGGTATTATTATTTAATTACTATGGCATGCATGAGCAATCCCAGCAATAAGCATGCAAGCCTCTATTTTTCTTGGCAGCAGCAGCCTCCAGCAGCCAGTGAGACCTTGCAGCCAACCCAGGTATCAGTCAGGACTGAGAACACCCTTGGAATCCCAGCGAAGGGGACTTGTCCCTCCTGGGGTGCTGTTTGCAGAGGAAAGCTAACCTACAGGAGTCGGGAGGAATCCTCATGCTAACTACACTGAAATCAGGCTTACTCCTTAACACTTGAAACAGTACCTCCAAAAGCAACAGAAGCCTTGCCAGCAATTTTTAATGAACTTTCAATCAGGTCTTTTAATGTTACTTTGGAATCCAAATACAATGGCACCTATCACTTCAGAACCAGTTTATGACACTGATGAGAAATTAGCCCACTCTCTCCCTAACTTCCCTATCAATAAAAGACAAGTTGAACTGTAATTTAGACTGCTGTACACAAGCAGAACCTGCGGTTCTTTCTGGCTCTAACTCACAGAACAGCATGCACCGCCCAGAGACACACACAGTCTCTGGCCAAGACTCAGCCAGCATGGAAGAAACTACTAGCAGAAATCTACTGTCAAGTAGCAGAGTTTGGATCCTGAGAAATATCTGAACTGTGTCTGAACTTTCCTGAAATTCAAGGATACTGAGATCCAGTCTGCATCTCTGCTAAAAACCAAAGTGAAATGGACAAAAGTAGTTTCAGAGTCTGGACGGATAAAAGAAAAATGTCAGCACTACCTGTGAGCAAGTCTGTACACCTGAAAGCATCTCAAAGCGTTCTCAGGCACACCTAAGCATTTCTGAGGGTGCGACAGGATGGAAAAAAAGCATGAGAAGGTTACAGTTTTGTAGGACAGCATCCTTCCTACCTGCAATTAGCCAGACATGTGTGTCCAAGAACATATACCTAACCATTCCAGTTATGCCTGATGTTACTGCCCTGTAAGTTTTGCTCAGTTATCTACGTATTTGTCCATCTGTGATGGAATTATATTTAAGAATTCTTTGCTTAATAGTTGAGCAGTTGCTAGACACAAAATGGACCTGACTAAGCATGTCAATTATCTTAAACCAGAAATTTCTGTTATTACACCTGATTTACACCAGCAAGAGTACTGTCAGCTTCGTTATGAAATTAGGAGCAAATTATTTATTTCAGTAGTGTATTTTACTTGGAACAGGTTAAAAAGTGACAGACCACTCTTTAGTTTGTTTTTGTTTTTTTTTTTTTTTTCTTTAGCATGAAAAATCCTATGTCAGCTGCTAATAACTTATGGTTATACAGACTCTTGGTTATTAATGAGATGTAAAACCAAGGTCCTGACCACTTGTGGTTTTTATAGATCTCAAGAATTTTCCCTAGAGCAGAAGTGTTAGGCTTGGTATCTTAGCCAAATCTGAAATGGAATTCCTACCTAAATTCCTACTATGTTTTGTGATTGAAAAATTATACTTCACTCCTCTAAATGGCTAGCTCAGAAAGCTTCTCCCTTCCACTTAAACACAAACTACCTTCAGTGGTCACACCCATAATGAATTTAATGAATCTAATGGAACAGTTCATATGAGAAAGAGCTACTGTGGGTGAGAAAAGGACATGATGTTTCTTGCTGTGTTAGCTGCACTGCGGTGTTAACCAGTGCAACCCCTGGTTCTACCAGTACAGTTCTGGCTTTAGGGATGCCACAAAAAAGGTAAGGAATTAAACAAACAGGTTTAGCACAATGCATCTGGAACACAAAACCTCATCTAAAGTAGAACTATATAATTTAATAACGAACTTTAAAAATCTGAGAAATGAGACCAAGCACTGAGTTACTTTATATGCTGAGTCAGAAGTATGAATCCAACATTATTTTACATGGGCAATAAGGGATTGCGAGGAAGCATGTTATTTCTTATAGCCCTTCTTGTCCATAACGTGCCACAGCAAGACTGACAACAATGACAGACACAAAACATGAAAGATAGCATCATCTACTACAGGTAGGTCACAGTCCCATTTCTCCCATGGCTTTAACATTTGCCAAGCCCAAAAATACTTTTCTCGATTACACATGCAATCACCCACTTCGGGCTAAGACTGAAATCTCTTTACAGAGGAGGAAGGAAACCTGTTCAATGTCATTGAACCAGCTGCTGTTTTCAAGTGGAAGCAAAAGGCCCCAAAGAAAGATTCAGAGAGATTTAAGTAATAAACCAGGTAGATCTAGCCCTAGGTATCTGACAGAGTCAGAAGGATCACAAAGGAAATAACATTTCAAGGACTTCTTGGCTATGTAGTGGATAACTAAATTTAAAACATTACATTATTTAGAAATTCCACTGAAGGTAAAATCCTGTTGACCTCAAATCATTCCTGAAATTTCATTGGGTTGCTAACTACCCCTAAAAGCAGCTCACAGAACAGCTGAAGTTTGAAGGGGCATCCACAGATTTAGTTCAACCCCCTGCTCTAAGCAGGTGAACTAGAGCAAATCACTCTGCACCACGTGCAGTCAGGTTTTGACTGTCTCCAAGGATGGAGACTCCACAACCTCTCTGTCCAGCATTTTCCAGTGTTTGACCATCCTCACAGTAAATATGCTTTGTTTTCTTATATTTAAGTGGAATTTCCTGTATTTCAACTCATACCCACTGCCTCTTGTCCTTTCACTGGGCACTAAGAATCTGACTCCATCTTTATTCCCTCTACTCAAGTATCAAATGGTAACTCCTGATCAGTGTCAACTCTATATAACTGCTGGACAATCTACTACTGCCAAAGCCCCGTTAGTATAGTATCACATCTTGCAAGACAAAATCTATGCCTGGAAAGGGGAAGGTAAGCCTGGCAGGTAGCAGCTGCAGCTACTCAGATTAAGACCTTTGTATCCATCAGTCATGTTCTGCCCTCTCTCTTAGTCCATCTATGTTAGAGAAGAAAAATCTCATGTGCTTGGCAAGCACGTGACACTGACAGCAACTCAGAAAAGATAAGACTGAAGAAAAACTTCAACAAAACAACACAATACACTTACTATTTCCAAGGAAATATCAAGTTTAACAGGAGATTTGAGACTTCTGTTTCCCTCTTTAGGTAGAGGTTTCACCACATGGCTTCTGCACTGTGAAAGTTAAAGGGGAGATTTCTCCACTCCTATTTGAAAAGAATTCTCATGAGAAATTTGTCCAAAATTGTTTTGCTTCATTAGAAGGAAAACACATCTACCTTTTCAACAGTATGAATAAAAATCACTGCTCTCAGATAATATTTCATTCTTTGCTCCTTCTACTTTGATAAACCTACCAGCTGGCCATAGAGTCTTCCAAGGTAAACATAGCCTTAATTTTTACTGCACGAGGCCACAAAAATTCCATTTTTCCTGTTATGTGCTGTAGAGAAATGAAACAGGACACTGCTGTTGTTTCATTTTCCTGTGCAGGGCATCCTTTCATGAAACAAAACTGCTCACAAAAATACCTTCAAGGCTAAAAGAGATGAGTCTTCCACAGAGAACTGCTTTCAAGATTCCTTTAGTTTGATAGGTTTAGTAAGGATAGCTTCACTATTACTTTACTTCTTCCCTTAGTGAATACAAATTGTGATGCTTTGCTGTAAATGGCAACTGTCATTTACCCCAGAAATGGTGGCAATCCTTAAGCAATTGCATTTATAGTATGTGTAAAATAATCCCTTAGCGTGGGCAGGTGCTATATAAATATAAAATACAGTACAGTCACCCATTATATTTAGAAGCAATAACTAGAGCCTGGACTTCAGCCTTAAACAGATTCCAAGGAAAAAAGTTCACACTGAAAAATTTGGGAGTGGATATCAAGCAGAGCTCATAAGTTCTTACATCAAAGATTTGGTTTCGTCCTATCCTTATTAAACAGAACCTGCCTTCACTGAACTCGCCAGCTCTTACTGCAGCCAAACCTTTGCCATGGATATTTTAAAGCAAAATATTTCAACACAGAAACTGCAGCTTCCAAACAATGTCTGTTTTAATGAATGCCCACTAGCCTCCAAATGAGTACTGTTTTTCTTCTAGCAATAATGTATATATGACTATATCAGAATTAACCAGGACCAGTTTCTGCTGGCTTTTGCAATCAGAATATATTCTGCTTTCAGTCCAATACATTTCACATCAAGTCAAATTAATTCCAGAATAGACTGAAATTTAGTTGCACCAGGTATGTATCTGTCCCCTTCTGTAAAAGCAGAATGAAGCAGCTCTAGAAAGAGAAGAAGAAAGTGATGGATTATAGGCACCTCAAGAATTTAGCATGTATACAACCTGTCCTGACAGAGCCCTGCAATACACAACAAAATATTAGCTGAAGAAACATTGCTTACAGTCCCCTAATGAAAATTTTCAGTACAGCAGCCAGCTTTTTTTATATAGAGGACTGTTTCCCAGACTTGCCCAACCTTAACCAATTACTCTCACAATAGCATTGAATAGGATATTTAGAATGTCAGCCCAATTGTTCGAACTTGCCCCCTCTGCCATGCCCCAATTTTTGACAGGTTTGTTCCTCTATTGCTATAGTGACTGCCATCCCTAATGCTTGTGATCAAAGTCATGTTTTAGAGGTCACCTCCATTTGAAACAAGAGACATTTTTGTGTGAGCAGGGGAGAGAGAGAAAGAAGGGGCTGTGTGACAGCGGAGACTCCCTTCTTTCTTAGTGTTGTAGTCTCCCTTCCATTTCATCCTGCTCCTAATCCTAGGACCTGCTTTTAACTCCCTAACCCCCGCTCCTACTCCCAAGCATTCCATGCAAATTTTCATCTTAAAGAATTCTGGAGGCTCTGATAAATTGTCTGGAAATATTTTGCAGCTTTCAGCCTGGGGTGTTTCTCCCAAACATATAACTGGAAGGATCCTACCCTGCAAAATTCACTCACTAAGCCTAGCTAGTCATCAGCTACAGCCATGGAGGTATCATACACACAGTCTTGCACTTGACGTTTATGCACAGTTAGCACCCTCCTGAACCCTTTCCTACAAGAGCCACCATCACTTTAAACAGATCTGACTACACCAACAATTTCTCATCTGTAATTTTCAATCACCACAGCCTCTCTGGTGGAAGGTGCAGTATAGAGAAAGCTCAGGCATGCTCAGATGTTTATACTGTTGTATTTGCCTAAGAAAGTTTTGAAATAACATTTCAGAGAGCAAAGGACTTGCTTGCAAGAGATACATTAATATTCCAATATCATTACTGCACTGTGATAGCCCACTTTACTTTTTTTTAACAGGTTGTTTCTGAACAGGATAATGTTCATACACGAGAACTCCCAAAATGTCTTTACACTTAATCAGCCTCTATGGGACTGGAACTTCAGTCATGCGTATTCTAAAATAAATTATAATCATAAATTGCAGCATTCCGGTGTTTGCTTCAGTAAGCTAGAAAATCATTCATGCAAAGGAAAAAGAGAGAATGTTTCTATTTAAAATTAAATAGAATGTGGCAAGATTGCCTCAATCATTGGAAAAAGAAACCAGCATCACATTACTGCCAGAAATAAGTTCTACCAAGCACTGACAACACATAAACACCTACCTTGGGATGCCCGTGCAGTTCTTCGCTGTTTGAGAGGGTAGCATTGAAAGGCTCTGTATACTGATTAGGTTCTTTCTTCATCTTTCTCTCTCTCTTTGCTGCCGTAACTCTGAAGAGGCAAAACTGCTGACAAAGTAAAGTTGCCACAAATACCCAGGTGCACCCCTTCATTTTGAAAAGGGAGGGGCCAAGTCAGGAAGGGCACTCTCCAAGCACAAAAACCTTCACCACGAATAATAGGAATAGACACAGACTTCTCTCTAAAAAAATAAAAAATAAAAGGGTTAGAACTATTAAAGATGATCCTCTGGGCTATGCAATGTCAAATGAGCAGCATGCATGGATGCGTTGGTTGCTGGAGAGATCTCTGTTCAAGCAGGACACATGGAAATGGTATAGATAAACTTGTTTGAAAATCTGGATTCACTCGAAGAAAGAGGTAAGTCCATTCAGCCTCTTGAAGCTTACATAAATACAAGAGGCCCTGGAAAGTCCTGCCACCCACCTTGAAGTGTCACTCCCCCCCCCCCCCCAATAGGTCTTCAGACTCGTTTAAAATGCACTCAACTATGAAACCTAGAGAAGTCAAATTGCTCAGGGCAACAGTTCCTCAGGCCAGAGCTGACAACGAAAACTCATTAGGGGGGTTGTTTGGTTGTTCCTCTTCAACAGGAGATTTCACTTTCTGTCATTTGAAGCATTGTGCTCAGTTCAAAGCAGGCTTGAATATGTTCCATCCATTCTCTCTTGAATGATTCTTCCCTTTCCTCAGTGACAAGTCCTCATCCTTTCCTTTCAGGATGCTGGGGAACTGTAATCCAAGGTTGCTACAGCCACTGCTCTTCTAAAGGGGCTGAAAGCATCACAGCTCAGCCATGTACTCAGCCTTCTAAGGAGAAAATAAATTTCTCATATCATAGAAGTTGAAACAGGGAGAAGCAAAGAATCTGAGGATGTACCTAGGTCCATTAGGAAAAGATAAAGTTTTCCCAAGTCTAGCTTCTCTCCCTTTTTAGCTGAGTTTATCTTCACTTTTTTTCAATGACACGATGAACTGTAAGTCTTGATGCCGCAAGCAGTTATCAGGATGTAGAATCTCATGTCTTTTTCATCCTCATCTCCCCTCACACTAGCCAAGATTTCAGGTACCTCTGAGTGGAGATCACGTCTGATTTTTGTCGCTGCTCCTTTCCCCTGCTGCACACTGGCAAAACCCTCCTCAGCTTTTGCTTTACCTCAGCAAATAAGTACTTCTTTCCTGAATGAGTTTCCATCAACTTCAAGAAAGGGGAAAAAAAAAAGAAAAAAAAAAAGGAGGAGGGATCACATTCTAATGAGCTGTCAAGCCTATTCTCTTCACATTCCTATTAGACTCACTGATAAGTGGAGCTGGCCCGTGTGCCAGGCAGATTTAAATCAATGCCCATTCCCTGCTCCCTCCCCTCAGCCCTATTCTGTACCTCCCCTTCATTATCTCAGAGAAATCACCATTTTTCTGGGAAGTTTGTAAAACTGTACATGTGTGGTAGAACTAAAAATATGTGGCTTGGAATATGCACTCAGCGTCGCACCACACATTGATACATCAGTACTCTTGCTTTACACTCTAGTTAGCTGTGTTCCACACAACATTTTCCCCTAGCTCTCATTAGAGGCTGCCTCAGTGGGGGCTTTCCGATTTCTTTACAGGAGGGTGGGCTGATTATTGAAAATAACAGAAAACCAAAGGTTATATCTCTCCTAAAAACATGTCATAAGGGAGAACCTGAAGTACTTGGACAGTGTGCAAATCTTTGTCTAGTACCCCACCACCTAGAACAAATATTCCTATTCCTTCTAGAAATATAGTGATGCAAAAATTTCTGAGATTGTACCATGAGAAAGTCCAAGAATGAGAAAAGGTTGAAGATCACATAATTTTAAGTCCCTTGTGCAGTCAGCAAGCAACAGATTTGCTTTCTTTTAACAACACCTTTACCATGCATTCTGTAATCTAAGTAATAATGCCAGCACAGTTCTTCATTGGTCTTTAAAAGCAGTCAGGGTGGATCAGGAACAACAGCCCTATTATCTATGGCTCAGGGAAACTGAGGCATGAACAATAAGAGTGCAGGAAGTAGAACACAGATTTGGGGTTTTTACAGCATCTTTGGAGAGAAATGGTGATTGGGAAAAAGAAGAGAGAGTAAGAAGGGCAGTTACACAGAAGCTAAATAGTTAACTGCATATCACCCCTCCCCCAACTAGCTCACATTCCATCAAAACTACGTGGCAGACTTTATTTGTTAATAATATTTAACTTTCTTTGGCGCCTTCTCATACTTAAGCCTCTTTTTTTCAGGTTAGTTGTAGACAAGCCATGAATTTGTAAAAGTGCACTTGATGACACATTAATAGGACAATCTGTCATACTGCAGCTAAACAGCTTGACAGATCCACACACCATGGCAAGAAGTGACATTCAAGGCTGGAATGGGGCAATCACTTTTTTGGTCTGCTGGTGCAGGCTGCATCTGTCTGCCTGCGACATCTCCTTTCCCATCCCAAGAGCCAAATCCCAAGATTATATCCTCAGATTTGGGGGAAATGAATCCTAACTACATTTGAAAGCACAAGGCAAAGTTACTTGATGGTCCAGGAGGACAAACCGACTGTAGCTAACTCCCGACTATATACTTTTCTCTAGGTCAGGCTGAAACAAGTGTCAGCACAGTTGTTACCTCTCCTCCAACCTGCAAGTCAGCATTTGTATTATCTGTAAAAAACTGCACACCTTTGCTGCTGCTGTTCTCACATCTGAGTTAGAGCAGTTCCAAATCACCCGAGTCTTGCCAATACGTGAACAGCATTCAACCCCCATTTGCAAAAAAAATGGGAATAGGCTGACATTGCACTTCATAGCACAGCAAGCCAAGTATCTCAAAGTGGCTGAAAAGACAAATAGTTTCTTCTCTGAGCTCAGCACCATTGCAGCAATAGTGGGAGTAGTTAAGAATGTAACAGTATCAATTCTGCAGGAGGAAAATTTTGAAGTAGGTAAGATATAAGAAGCCACATTGACATTTCAAAACCGTATACAAGATTCCAACTACAGTGTTTGCAAACACTGTAAGAAGCGTGTGTAAAGCTAGAGAGGAAACTGAAGAGTCAGACAAGAAACTGTGACTTGATCTCTCAATCTCTACTTACACAATTCACCTTTTACGCAAAACAGATTTTACCTAAATATGCTAAGAACAATATGCAAAGAGCAAAATGTCAAAAGCTAGGATTTTCTCAGTTGCCCATTGCAGATATATTGAACAATTCCTAAGGCTTGGTACCGAGATGTGATTTTCTGAGCCAATACAGTTGAATGTGAGTTACCATTCACTGATACCCCCCCACACACACCCTGCTCCATGGCAGGTAAAGGTCTGGAGAACTCCTACAACAGATCCTTTAGCTTTAAATGTGAAGTTTCCCAATGCTAATCTGATAGAAACTCAAGCTGTTGATTGGGTTAATACACAAAAGCTGTTAGAACAAACCTAAACACATCATCAGACGAAAAGAGCAGCTTTGGGAAGCCAGACCCAGAGCTTATGGCCCCTTCAGTTGCTCTTCTGCAAAGTCCCCCCGTGGAGCCACGTCGCAAAGCCTCTCGCTCGGCTCTTCCCCAGCACAGCCACCGTCCCAACCGTGGGACAACCGGTCGCCCACGACCCACGCGGGATCGCTACGCCATCTCGTGGCAAATCCACGGAAACACTGAGATGCCTGGCAAAACGCACAAACGCTGCGAAGGTTTCTCTTGCAGCTGGCTCTTCAGAGTGACCAACGTGTGAAATAACCTTGCTGGGGCAAAGCTGTTACTGCTAATAAAAGGTTCCTAATAAACCAGAAAAGTCTTTTCAATAACATGAGAAGTGAATGCTTTGAGTTCATTTTCGACAGCCTCTGTTTTGCACGCATGTTGGCAATTTTTCCACTGAAAACAGAGGGGATCTGCTTTAAGTAAGATCTGGCCTTTGCTAGGCAGCAAAAAAAAAAAAAGCATCACCTTGTACACTATCTTTCTGTGACTGGGTTGCAATATAAGCCACTAATAGATCAAGTCATTAGCACAAATAATCCAGAGACATTCAAAAAATACCTCTTGAAGCACATGTAAAAATTCTAATTACAAATTACGAGCTGGCTCTTCTGAAGACAAGACAGCTTGCTGCTTGCTGACTGCTTAGACATTTAAAGCAAGTTGGAGAATCCACCAGATGGGCAAGAGGCATCTCATTTTTTTGGCTTTCTGGATATGGGAGTTTCCCATTTAATACTTGGCTAGATACACACCACCATTTTCAGATCCAAGTACCTGTGCAAATGCAATAGGTGTTTGGGAGTTTTTACCTCCCCTACTGAATTTGTCTAGGGTAGGGGCAGGGCACAAGCAAGAATCCAGTATGACAGATGGATCTAAAATACAGCAACCTGGCTATCCTTATCTGACTAGTTACTGACTATCACAAGCACTAAAAAAAACCTGAAGCAGGGCAGCAGACAAAATGAAAAGCACTAAGTCTACACAATGGAGTGAAGATCTCCAGGCACAAGAACTGTTCTGAGTAAGAAAAAAAGGCAGATATACTAGCATTATTAAGGAAAATGCATCATTTCAGAAAACAAACTAGGACACAGCTCAGCCCTGGCAGATGTCAGTCAAGCAAGAAAGCCTCACTTCCATCAGGTTATAAAGAAATTGCTATTACAAACACTGATGTTTTGGCTCCACACACAGAGCTGGAATGCCAGTCCAGAATCAGATTCTTAAAGGAAAAAGTGAAGACAACCTCTGAGTAACATTTACTGCTTTACACAGAACTGAAACTATCTAGATACATAGACAATCAAAGTGTCTAGATTATCACAGAACTAGCAATCCAGATGTTAAGGGAATAGCAGCAGAACAAAGTCAAAACGTACTCAAACAGCAACTGCTGACTTAGTAGCAAGGTTCCAATCTACTTTTTTTTCTTCAGAGAAATCTTCACTGTTGGTAAAGAGCAGAACAGCATCTCAGAGTGGCTCCTACGTCTGAGGAGGTACTGAAAACAGGTACTGCACTACAATGACAGTTGTGACATTTATGACATTATAGAACAAACACCTCTCTGTAGAGAAACTGTATTATCAAACAAAAGATCTAAAAAGTTACTGCCTGTAAGTCTTCCTGGAAGTGTTTTACCACAGATGTAAGGGATACCAAAATAACTTGAGGAAAATAATAAAATCTGGAGGTGGGAGAGAAGCAGTTTTGGTTTTCTAGTCCATACATACCCAGTTAGGTTTCTTCCCACTGATTCCCAAAAACAGTCCCACAGAAAATATAAATTTTATAATGAATGTTTATTATGAACAAACAACTTTACAATGCAGTCATTTCTACTCCTCAGTACATGCTTGAAGTCAGGTATCTTCTGTGACCTTGAAATCTTGGGGGGAGAAAACTTATGGCTACACACAGATCCAGGATTTTAAAAATCAAGAGATCTTTACAGGTGACCACTGAGATGTCTTCTGATTGAAGCTGCAAAAATTCCCTACCATGGGCGTATAACAATCTTACAGAAATCTATGAAATTGCAGCATGAAAGTGAAGGGCCAGACACTTGTTCCAGTATCATATACCGAGGGACAGCTTTTAGTTTTATTACATTAAGTAGTGCACTGCTTCAGGGCATGATAATATTTTTGCATGGCAAAGAATGGTTTACTCCATCTAATGACTTTGGTAACAAAAAGACCAGATACTGCATACTATTATAAACTCTTTTAAAAAACACAAAACAGTAAAACATACACAAAAGGGAATAAATCTTCCGTTACCAAAGGCAAGGAGCAAAGAGATGTATGAAAATCTCGTAAGCCGTAAATGCAAGGGTTCAGTCAGCTATTGCTCCCAGCTTTCAACAAATGGCACCTGAAATGACTGTCAAGTCTTTCTCTGAATCCAGGGTACTGAAGAGAAACTGCAACTGGAAGCTGTGTTTTTTAAATACAACCAATCCTCCGAAAAAAATGCAGCATGTCCAGGGTTTAACCAAAGTTTTTTTTGTTTCCAATTGTGGCACTTACAAAAAACAAGAGACCCACTTTCAAGTGCTTGGGTGTAGCTTAAGGCCAACTTCTTGTCACATAATAAAAATGCCTTTTAATCAGTATCTCCGGATTTTACCAGTTCTTTTACCTTAGTAAAGTAGATTTCACAGAAGATGCAAACACCCCATGCCCAAGGTCTCCTTGCCTTTGTCTTCGTTTTTGTGGACAAAAAAAGCTTCCATAAGATAAGAAGATAAACACAGATAACCAATCATAA